GGCCACCAAAGCATATGATATGTTGGACTCCTCCATTCTAAGCAGGAAGTGGGTAAACTGTAAATGTGTAATAGCTAATAGCTTATTATTTTTCTCATTAAAAAGTTAATATGACTTAATAGTAAAAGCCTTAAAAACATAAAAATCAACTCTAGCCTATTTCCAAATAAATAAATAAATAAACAGTAAATACTATAGAATAATAGGTATGTCCTTAAAGGGAAAATCTTTAGAACCATACTCAAAATATTATGATTCCCACAAACTTTTTGTTATGGATTATGGGGTATACTTATTTTCAAACTTATCAGCCCAGTGACATTTTAAAAGAGATATTAAAACACATACCTTTCTTTATTACCAAGAATAAAAAAAAAGTAAACAACAAAATCCTAAGAAAAACATCAGCATGTTAAGAGTGGGTGGTTATTTCCAGAAAGTACAATTACTAGTGCTTTTTACGGTTCTTTTCATTTGATTTTTACATTTTCCACATCTCCTGAATATCTGTGAGACCAAGTAGTATACTTAAAACTAAGTAATCTTCTGTTTACATTCTTCATGCTTATTTTCAATTGTTACACAATAATTTGTAGTAGAGATATATTTTCACTTTCCTTGAAAAAGAATCAATTCAGAAATACATACATTTAAATGTGTGTCTTACCCACACCCAGCAAATACATACACAGTGTGATTATATAGTGTGATTAATTACTAGCTGAAGCAGGCACCTGCTATGGGTGATACACTATATGAAATTGAGCTTAGAAGTTTAAGTTACTCATAGGGAGCCAAGGTCTTTACTTTGTAACCATCTTCAGCCTGTGCAAGAGAGCATGGGGATTTTGTGACTGCTACACCCACCCTAATAGCTTGCTTACAGTATAAGTGAGAAGAGGCTTATTCTCCCTATCTCCTCTTGCTGTCTTCTGCCACCTTCAAGTGATGCCCCTGTGCCAGGCTACCCTACTTTGCAGCCAGCTAATTATTGACTAAAACCTCCACAAACTGTGAGCTAAATAAATCTTTCTTTCCTTAATTTGGGTGTCGGGTATTCTGTCTCAGAAATGAGGGAAAAGCAACCAAGACAGAATCTGGTATCAGGAGTAGGGTCATCAATGTGACTGTATCTGACCATGTGGTTCAACAGCCTTTGGAAATGGTGTGTGGGAAATTTGGGAAGGTTCAAACATGTCTGAAAGAATGGAGCTGGAACATCTTAGGTTGTTTCTGTAAGGGAGATACTGGTCAGAGCTCAGAAGACCAGAATGCTGGTAGAAATGCTGCTGGTAGCTGGGCATGGTGATACATGCCATAATCCCACACTCAGAAGGCTCAGGCAGCAGGATCATTGCAAATTTGGGCTACAAAATGAGTTTAAGACCAGCCTGAACTGCATAGTGAAACTCTGTCTCAAAGAGACAGAGACAGAGACAGAGACAGAGACAGAGATTCTGCCAATAAAGATCAGACATTGGAGATTTCTGCAGGAAAGAGTGCTGGACTCCAGCTTATGTATGTTATGGCTTGGCAAAATCTTTGTCTATATTTTGCTTGTGTTCAGAGACTTTGCCTGAGACTAAGATTAAGATCAGCAGACTAATTAATCTGGCATAAGAAATTTCAAGGCAGTCAAATGTTGAGGCAGTTGGCATGGCTATGGTTGGGGGCTTTTAGCCAGATTAATGTTGAGAATCAAAAGTAAAGAGCCCAGAAGGGCGATTTAAAATGTGAGTCTGTCCAGAAGGGAAGCTCCAGTAAAGATGTGGTCTGCAAAGATACAGCACAGGCAATCTCAATTATTGAGAAGAAATAAGAGAATATAAAAGATGACCAGAAGACACCACAGGAAGCAGAGTCTCTACCCTTTGCAGCTTCAAAAATGCAAAAGTGAAACACTTTGCTTTGAGGAAAAAACCACAAAGTATTATGTTCCAACACTGCAGTGGCTGCAACATGTTCCAGAAAGATAGCAACATAGAAAGTGTTCCTCAGAACTGGATTCAGAATGCTGAGCAGTCCAGGTACTCGACCCCTACAGCCAAGAGAGAGGAAAAGTCTTTTTACTTCAGCTGGCAGGAAACCTTAGCATCATCCAGGTGGTGCTGGTTTTAGATACATGCAGAATGCAAAAATTATGGGGTTAAAAAGGCTTCTACCTTGATATCATGATGCCTGGGAGGCCAGGAACTGTGGTCTTGAGGAGGGCATTGTATGAAGCTGTGAGTGTGTAGTACAGTAGAAACCTCAGAAATTTGGAAAAGCCAAGAATGTAGATCATCTAAGGAAAGGTGCAAGCAGAGGGCAAAGCAAGCCTAAGAGACGCAGTAGGAGCTATAACCACCAAAAGTGCCATAGGGGAGTCTGAACTCAAAATTTGCCACAGAATGCTTCAGATGCTGGACGTGAGACTACAGGACTTAAGATCTGTTCTGCTGGATTCTGGACTTGCTTTGGTCAAACACTTTGGATCCCTGTCTGTGCAAGAGGAGGGCACAGAGACTGTAACTGCTGTACCTACCCCGATAGGGTAGCAGCCTGCTTACAATGTAAGGGAGAAGAGGCTTGTTGTTCCCCACCCCCACCTTTGTGCTCTTGCTGTTTGCTGTCTTCTGCCACGTTGTCTTCTGTCACCCTGAAGTGCTGCCCCTCTGCCATGCCACTCTGCTTTGGAGCCAATTCATTATGGACTGAATGCTCTACAAAATGAAAGCTAAATAAACCTTTCCTTCCTTAATTTTGGGTGTCAGGCATTTTGTCTTCACAACTTATTTTTCTTTTTTTTTTTGTCTTTTTCCTTTTTATCGGTACCAGGGATCGAACTCATGACTGCCTGCTTGCAAGGCAAGCGCTTATGCCGCTGAGCTAAATCCCCAGCCCCCACAATTATTTTTCAAAAAACATATTTTATTTTTTCTTGTTGAGACAGGGTCTTGTTTTGCAGTTCGAGCTGGGCTTTAACTTACTTTGTAGTCCAAGCCTATCTTGAACTCACAAGGATTCTGCCTGCCTTAGCCTTCTGAGTGCTGAGATTACTGGCAAGGACCAGCAAGCCTGGCTCTTAGAAACGTACTTTGGATTACATTTTTACGCTGTTCAGCCACCTACACTATTTATGAACTACACATTTCACAATAAATGATCTTGGTGAATGCACAGTGTGTACATTTCTCTTTTTGACATAATAGTCTAAAATATGGCTATCATTTAATTAAATATACCTTTTCAAATTCTTTTGGTACCAAGAATCAAACTCACAACCTCGCGCTTGCCAAGCAGGCACTGTGCCACTGAGCTAGATCCCCAGCACACATACTATATCCTATTTTTTAAAAATATCGTGTTATCTGCTTTACTGCTTCTATTATTATTTGGTGGTTGTTGTTACTTTTTGGTTTTTAGAGACAGGGTCTCACTATGTAGTCCAGGCTGGCCTTAAACTCAATTGATAGCCCAGACTGGTCTCAACTTTCAGCAATCCTTGTGCGTTGGCCTCCCAAGTGCTGGGACTACAGGCCTATACCACTTTGCCCAGCTACCACACCCTATTTATGAATCACTGCTTTAGTAAATGAAGTCTTAAATTTTCCCAGTTTCCTTTCAGCCTTTGTCCCTTCCTCTCTTTTGAAATCTTCCTGCTTCAGCCTCTTGAGAGCTCGAATTACAAGTGTATGCCAAACCGGGCGTGGTAGTTCACATCTGTAATCCCAGCACTCGGGAGGCTGAGGCAGGAGGATCATTGTGAGTTCGAGACCAGCCTGGGCTACAAAGTGGCCAGCCTGAGCCAAATAGCAAGACCGTGTCTCAAAAAGACACACACACACACACACACACACACACACACCACAAAATCCCATAAAACAAGTGTATACCAAGCCTGGGTCTCCCATTTATTTTCTTAATAATGGTAAAATTATTTTGTCTGCGCAAATATTTTCTTCTGTTGCTTTATGACTTAGAATAAAATATAGAATCACTGGTTTAAGGAGTTTATGTTGGTACATATTGTCAATTGCTTTCCCAAAACACATCAAGCAACACCATTAATAGGATCCCGAGATCAGCACTAAACCAACAGGGTTTTTCTGTTTATTTTAGTTTCTGAGTCAAAAAATTTTACTATTCTAGCTGATTATGACACCTGAATTTTTATTTCTGTTTGCATGTTTTACTAGAAAAAACGTGCTAAACGTTGCAGCTCTCCATCGGCAGCGCCTTTTGCAGCTCCTTACGTGATCTTACTCTTCTTCCTGACTTGCTGGCAACACTCTGCAGGCTCTGACTTTCTGGAGATTGCTGTGGCAGTACTCAATGCTGTAGTTCTAGCCTTTCCTCAGTGACCAGGAGGTCCGCACGCCCGTGCATCTGGTGCTTGCTCACAGGACAGGTCCGCCTTCCATGCTGTCGCGGTCACTGGGTTTGAGTAAGCGGACCTCCGCCTGGCACACAGACCCTCAGACTAGGCCACCCTGCCCGCGTCCGTCCCTTCCACCCCAGGATCCCACGGCATGAACCGCGGCAGTGGGTCGCTCTGGCGTCTCCAAGCGTGTCCTCACACAGCTCGGCCCCGGCAGGAGAAAGCCAGGAGTCACGGTGCTGCGGCCCATGGCCCGCCAAGGCGTAGGCCGGGTGCATGAAGGCCGCCTCTCCCTTCCAGAGCCCGCCCACCGCCCAGCAGGCAGCACAACCTACCGTGCCAGTCGCCGGCCGGCTCCGTCAAGAGTGCAGTCCTCTGGATCTCCACTCTGACCGGCGGGAGAACAATGAGCAAACAGGAAGTGTCGCGGTGGGCTTCCGCCTTCCGTCAGCCAACCGGCATTTCTAGGCATCTCGGAGGACCCTTCCTCTTGGTGACCGTGCACAGTCTCCGAAGCCTTTAGGAGGGAGAGAAAGTCACGGGAGAGGCAAGAGTGACTTCCCAAGGCTGGCAGGGGAAAGAGGGTCCTTCGAAGAGTGTGCACCCTAGGCCTGGAGCCACAAAGCAGCAGTCCTGGTAATTTCTTCGCAAACATTTTATTTTGAAAATATCAAACTACAAGAAAGTTGAAAGAATGATACAATGAATACCCGTATCCTCCTCTGGGCTCAATGATGAACATTTGTGTTTGCTTGTCTCTCCATACATACTTAATGACACTTTTTGAAAGCTATAAACCTCAAAACACTTCATTCCAAATTTTCAACAGGCATATCTTAATAATACAGTATTTTCCAAGCTAACACCACCACCACGAGTAACGAACTTAACAATGCTTCCTAATACCACCTAATGTGCAGACATTCAAATTTCTCCAATTGTCCTAAAATGTATTTAAAAAAAATTTTTTTTCTGAAAGTGTCACAACACTGTATGCAATTAATGGCTAGTTTTTCATGTTTTTTTAAATAAATTCACAGAAAGTCGCAGAGATAGTACTCTTCAATGTTACTGCTTGATTTTATCAAAACCAGGAAATCAACATCAAGTATGATATATATATCCTATCATTGTATTACATTGTGTAGCCACCATCACAATCAAGATGCACAACTGCTCCACTGTAAGGAGACCTCACGTGATGCCCTTTACAGCTGCACCCAACCCTGTCCTCTCTCCCACTGCTCCTAACCTTTGGCAACCATTAATCTCTCATCTCTGTAGCCTGTCATTTTGTGGATGTTATGAAAATGGAATAGTACAATATATAACATTTTTGAGATAAGTATCTCCTCAGTATCAATTTCCTTGAAATTCATTCTGATTGTTGTGGCAACCAATAAGTCATTCCATCTTATCCTTGGGATAGGCATACCAGCATTCGACTGTCTGATAAAAAAAGAGAATCTAGGCTGCCTAAAGATTTTAGGCCTAGGGGCTGGGGATTTAGCTCAGCGGCATAGGCGCCTGCCTTGCAAGCAGGCAGTTATGAGTTTCATTCCGGGTACCGATAAAAAGGAAAAAGACAAAAAAAAAAAAAAAAATTAGGCCTAAAACATAAAGGTACTACGAACATTCACATAAACAAGTTTTGGGGTGCATATGTTTTGATTTCTTGGGACAATCAGGAATGCAATTCATTGACTTATGTAAGTGCACACTTGGTTTTATAAGAAACTTCCGATGTATTTTCTAAAGTTGCTGTATCGTTTTACATTCCCATCAATCGTTTCTCCACATCCTTGCCAGAATCTGTATAACCACTTGACTTCAGCTATTCTGATCCATGCACAGAAGTACGGTGGCACCTTAGCTCATAAGCACACTTGTTTGCAAATGATTTTGTTTGACAACAGAAGCATGGCAGAACTTTGTTGGTAAACTCCCACCATCAGGCAACAAACATGACTGTGGCTATCTTTTCTGACAGAAACAGAAATGTGGGCATCTTTTCCAAAACTGCAGAAAAAAATTAACTTCATGAATGAAGGCAATGCTGTTATTTCATGATTGTACTTTGCATTTCTGTACTGCTAATGATATCAAAGATTTTTTTATTTATGTATTTACCACTCACACAAGAAATGTCTTTTAGGACTGTGTACATTCTAAATGGATGTTTACTGTTAAATGTAATGTATCTAGATATAAATTCAGGACTGATCTGTATTTTCTCCCATTCTATCTTTTCATCCTCTTAGTATTTTAATTCCGATGAGGTCCAATAATTTTTCCCCTTTTATGAAATGTTTTGTGTCACCTATGTGTTCTTTGCCTAGTCACAATCCTGTCCTAGTCTTGATCACACACCAAAAAGGTTATCCCTCCCCCACTAAATTGCATCTGTACCTGTCAAAAGCAAATGGATATTAGTGTGAGTGTAATCCTGGCTCTTCAAATCTTATGTCTCATTAGGATATTTTGAAAGTGATCTCCCTCAGCAACTTTCTGTCTCAGGGAAATTTTCACATGCACAAAAGCAGAGGTCAGTAGTATAGAGGTCTCTTAGTACATATATCAAGTTTCAATGAGGATCTTTTCTTTTTCTTTTCTTCCTTAAAGAATCTGATTTTTTATAAAACACCTCACATTGTGGATTTGTCTGGATTCTTAGTGTCTTTTATCTTGCTCCTCTGGGTCCTGAATTTCCTGTAAACTAACAACTATGTTTAGAAACAAATTCATGAATTTATTTTTGCCTCATTATATGACATGAAGAGGCACAGTATGTGGGCTTACTTTTATCAGTACTACAACAGAACTCAGGACCTTACACTTAGCAGGCAGGTGCCTATGCTGCTCAGCTGTATCCCTGGCCAGTCTTTCTTTGGTACTGGGAATCAAAGTCAACCTCATGCTTACAAGGCAGGCACTTGAGCCGCTAAGCTAAAGCCCAGGCCTGAGGCCAGTTTTGTCAATGTTAAGTTTTGTTACTTACAAGGTAAATTTCAGCTTTCTCCTTTGCTAAAGTATTTCTGTTCCTGTGTAATTACTATATAATCTGCGATGAGTCTTGTACTTGCAGAGATATGAGGCATTTTCTTATTTATTACCTCACAACTTTGCAAGGTAGGCATCATCCCTGTTGTCTGACCAAGGAAATCAAGGTTCTAAGAACTAAATGATTTGTCCAAGCAAGACCCAACTTATCTAGGTCTTTAAACTGTGAGCACCTTCTTTCTCCTGTATACTTGCAATCTAATGAGGAACCAGTCCCCAAACAACTCTGAGCTGAATTCATATTTAATCAACCTATAACTTTTATATAACTAGTATGAGAAAACACAATCCTGAGATTTATATGTATATGGGGTTTTTTCCTCCTGAAAAACTGGAGTTCTCATATTTGGTTGTTCTGGTACCAGCAATTGAACTCACAGCCTCTCACTTGCCAGGCAGGGGCTGTGCCACTGAGCTATATCCACGACCAAAATTTGAATTTTAAGAACTATATGAAGTACCCAGGGATTGAGCTCAGTGGCTTAAGAGCCTACTTGACAAGTGTGAGGTACCGAGTTTGAGCCCCAGTACCAAAATAAATAAATAAATAAAATTACATGAAGCAGGGGACAGGAATTTAGCTCAGTGGCACAAGTGCCTGTTTGGCATGTGTGAGGTAATTGAGTTCAATTCCCAGTACAAAAACAAACAAAAAAAGAATTACATGCAACTGTCAACTGAAGATTATCTGTTAATGTCCCTATTAAACACCCAGCAGAGCTAGGCTGGATGATGTGGGTTGCATGGAGTACTGGGTAGTGCTTTCCAGAGACTGTTATGCACTGCCTTCATCAGAACAGAAAGGGATTGGCTCTGGGCGTCATAAACATTCTCGGATAGAAGGGAATTTGTTTCATGAAACCTGAAGGTGATGATTAAACACTGATCAGGATTGAGATCATCAGCTCAGGGATGGGGTTATGAATTTCAAAGAACAATGAATGCAAGACAGGACCTCCTTCCTTTTTCATGCACTGTGTACACTAAGTTTCAGAGACTGAAAAGCAAATTCCTTGACCTCAGTGTCAACGGCTGGTCATTAGTATTTTTTCCATAAAAACAAGGTAGGTGTATTATGCATTAACATTTTACAGCCATATTTAAAATTTTTTCTTAGAATACTAAATTGCAAAATTAGCTATCTACCATATTCATAAAAATGATATCAGAGGTTCACAGAATTCCTTTCATTCTAACAAATGACTTAATGAACAAATATGCTCTGATCTAGACTCTGACTGCACCTCTTCTCTCCAATTTTATTGACAAGTGAACGATTTCACAAAGGTCCTTTACTTAATGGTCTCAACCATCTTGCAAAGGAGGCATTATGGCAACATTTGACTAACAGGGAGATTGAGGCTTGGAGGCAGATTTTGTGAGTGCATGTGTCTTTTTGAGACAGGGTCTCGCTATGCAGTTCAGGCTGGCCTTGAGTTCAACTTGTAGTCCAAGATGCTCTTGAACTCGCAATGATCCTCCTGCCTCAGCCTCCCAAGTGCTGGGATTACAGGTGAGAGCTACTACACCTGCCTGAGGCGATTTAATATCATCACATAGTAATGGAAAAACTTAAGAACTCAAACTTAAGCCAGGTATGGTGATATATGCCTGATATCTTACAATTCTGGGAGGCTGAAGCAGAAATCACAACTTTGAGCTCAGCCTGGGCAATTAGTTACTGGTAAAAGTTTTAAAAAGTGGGGGATGTCACAGCGCAAAAGTGCTCTAGATTCAATCCACAGTAACACAACACGCATGCAAGCACACACGGACTCCAGCTCTTCTGATTTTAAACCCAGGGTTCTGTCTAGGTTGTTCTCAAACAGTAAACTCCTGCCCCATCAATTACTCCAACAGTTATTTTGCAGGAGTCCATTGCACTTTACATGCTTCATTTTATCCTTTTATGTGGTGCTAGGCAAGTGCTCTACCACTGAGCCTCACCTGCAGCCCTCCACTAAATTTTCTGACCCTCTACTTTGGGCTCACTAGTGTTTTGTAGCCAGAATTCCTCTTCCATATGCACTTTTTGCTGAAGATGAAGGTTTGATGTCTGACAGAATTCTTCCCCAGTCTCACCACATTCACATGGCTTTTCATCTGTGTGAACTTTCTGATGTACAGTAAGGTTTTTTCTTTGCCTGAACATTTTACTACAATCATTACACCCATAAGGCTTCTCTCCTGTGTGGATTCGTTGGTGGCCGACCAAATTCCTCTTAGAAGTAAAGGATTTCCTACACTTCTCACACTCATAAGGTTTTTCCCCAGTGTGCATTCTCTGATGTACAACAAGATTTTTATTCTGACTAAAGTCTTTTCCACACTCACTACATTTGTAAGGTTTCTCACCAGTGTGGATTCTTTGATGTACCATAAGGTTTCGACTAGAGGTAAGGACTTTTCTACATATATGGCATTCATAGGTTTTTTCCCCACTGTGAATCCTTTGATGTTCAGTAAGGTTTCTGTTGTAGGTAAAGCCTTTCCCACACTCATTACAGGCATAGGGCTTCTCACCGGTGTGGATTCTCTGATGGGCTATCAGGTTTGAACGGTAACTGAAGATTTTCCCACAGTCATTACATTTGTAAGATTTTTCTCGGGTATGAATTCTCTGATGTCCAATGAGGCTTTTCTTCAGAATAAAGCATTTGCCACACTCATTACACTCATAAGGCTTCTCACCACTATGGATTCTCTTATGTTCAATGAGATTTCTGTTTGAGCTAAAGGCACGCCCACACTCACTACATTCAAAGGGCTTTTCTCCAGTGTGGATTCTCCGGTGTACAAGCAAGCTTGAATTATAACTGAAAGCCTTTCCACAATCCTCACATTTGTATGCTTTCTCCTGGGTGTGCAGTTTCTGATGGACCATGAAACTTTTGCTCATGATAAAAGTTTTCCCACATTCCTGACATTCATATGGCTTCTCTCCATTGTGGAGTCTCTCATGGTCAATGAGGTTTCTGCTAGAACCAAAGACCTTGCCACAGTCTTTACATTCATAGAGGTTCTCTCCAGTGTGGAACCTCTGATGTAAAATAAGGCTCTTCTTTAAAATAAAAATTTTCCCACACTCATTACACTCATAAGGTTTCTCTCCATTGTGCAGCCTCTGGTGGTCAAAGAGGTAGGCGCTCTGTGTGAAAGCTTTCCCACACTGTGTGCACTTGTAGGGTTTCTCTCGGCTGTGCATCCTTTTGTGGTCAATGAGATTTGACTTAGCACTGAAAATCTTTCCACATTTTTTACAACCAAAAGTTTTCTTTTCTGTGTGGACTCGCTGGTGTAAGAGGAGGCTTTTACTTCGAATGAACACTTTGCCACACTCTTTACATTTGTAAGGGTTCTCTGCACTGTGGAGTCGCTGGTGGTCAACAAGATACGTGGTCTGAGCAAATGTTTTTCCACATTCGTCACATTTATAGGGTTTCTCCCCAGAGTGGATTCTCTGGTGCAGAATGAGGCTCTTCTTTAGAATGAAAGCTTTCTGGCACTTGTTGCATTTGTAAGGCTCTTCTCCTTTGTGGAGCCTCTGGTGGTCAGTAAGGTACCCATTCTGGGAGAAAACCTTTCCACACTCATTACATTTAAAGGGTCTCTCCCCTGAGTGGCGGCGTAAATGTATAATCAGACCCGAGTGCCTGTAGAAGCCCTTTCCACACTCCTTACATTTATAAGGCTTCTCCCCTGTATGGATCCTCTGGTGGTTCAGGAGGTAAGCACTCTGAGAGAATGCTTTCCCACATTCATTACACTTGTAAGGCTTCTCCCCAGAATGGTTCCGTAAGTGCATTCGAAGGCTTGAGCGCTGAATAAAAGCTTTTCCACATTCCTTACATTTATAAGGCTTCTCGCCAGTGTGGATTCTCTGATGGTTTAAAAGATGGGAGAGTTTATTAAAGTGCTTACAACATATGTCACATTTATAAAACTTCTTTCCTTCAGTACCAATTACGCTTTCAGAAACAGCTGAACCTAAAGCCAAGTTTCCTCCAAACTCCTTCCCCTCCTGGTCTTGTATTTCTAGTGGAGTCCTTTTCTTCTTGTCTCGTTCACGAACGAAGACTTTACTCACTATATCTACTCCTTCTCCAGTTTCATTTTCCAACTGACTCGGCAAAGCCTGCCATTCAGACTTGTCCTCTAAGTCAAGGACATGGGTACCTTCCTGAAGTCTTTTTGATGCTCCTCTCTGAGAGGCTGCTCTTTCAGAAACAGTCCGCTTTGGCGTCACCTCCTCATTCTCCACCAGTGTCTCCCATTCTGGTAAAAACAATTAAAATACAAATGTTATCATATTCCTGTTTGAGAATTCAGACCTTTAACTGGGTTAAAAATCTGCTCGACGTATATACACAAAAATTGTTTTTGTGGTGCTGGCAACCCAAGCCAGAGCCTTGTACATGCTGGCAGCTGCTCCAACGCTGAGTTACATCTTTTGTTCCAAGTAGAAAAAGAATACTTATCACATACAGAAAGCAGCAGCGGAACGCGACACTGACGGAATGCTGTAAATGAATTAACATAGAGCTAGCTGACTTCTAAGCTGTCTGTGTTCTGGTAGCAAATGGAAAAATACAAATAATGCTGAGAAAGGGACGAAAATAAGAATTAAAGCGTGGACATGAAATCTGATATGAATGGTTCGGATCTGAAGTTAAAAAGCTAGATAGAGCCGGGGATTTAGCTCAGCAGCATAAGCGCCTGCCTAGCAAGCATGAGGTTGTGAGTTTGATCCCACGTATCAAAAAAAAAAAAAAAAAAAAAAAAAAGCTAAATAGAGCTGGAAGACTATTTTTGCTTGTTTCTGGGAAGAACTCTTTGGCTTAGAAACAACTGAGTTTTTCTTTTCTTCATATTAGGAAGACAGCAACTTTAAAATGGAAAAGTATGGCTTATACACTATAAAAGGCAATTTTTAATTTTTGAAAAATCAAATGCATACTTTGTAATTAATTGAAAGCAATTAACCTACAGAAAAATTCATCAAAAGCAATATAATTCTTAGAATTCATATTATGACTCCACATAAGTTACAGAAATTTTAAAATAATTTCATAAAAACATCTTATCTCTGTTGGATTTTTTTTTTTTTTTTGGTCTTTTTCGTTTTTATTGGTACTGAGGATCAAACTCATGACTGCCTGCTTGCAAGGCAGGCGCTTATGCTGCTGAGCTAAATCCCCAGCCCTCTGTTGGATTTCTTTTTTTTCTTTTTTTCTGTTGGATTTCTTAATTAGACATAAAAGAAATACAGGATGGAAAGGAAAAAATATAGGCAATAAAAATAGTATGAAAACATTAGAAAATGAGGTTGAAACAGTTATCTCCAAGGTTTCTTGTTACTGTAATATTCTTAAACATTTTTAAATGTGGAACTATTTTTAGGAAACTGTTTTAGAAATTATTATTACTATTATTATACTGGGGGTTGAACCCAGGACCTTCACACAGCAATTTAGAAAACATTTTTTTAAATTATGACAGAGTCTGCCTAAATCATTAAATTGCACTGGTTTGTACTTTCAATACTCTTGACTTAGTCTCCCAGTGTCCTGGGATTACAGATATGTGCTCCCACACCTGGCTTGGAAGCTTATTTTTTCCCCTTCTCTCCCTCTCCTCGTCCTTCCCTGGAAGTTTACCTTTAAACTACCCAAGGGAGTCAGTTTACCAAATTATCTAATAAGTAAAGTTGTGTTAATAACACGAAATCTTCTTTGAAAATATTATCTTTTTTCTACTTAGTGACAAAATATTTAAGTCTAAATTTATTTCAGTGTAAGCTTCTGTAAGTGCATGAGCACAGTGAGTATGGGAAATACCCATCAACCTGAGTTGCAGACATTCTTAGGGCAGGCCACGGTGTCTCAATGATGAGGTTTGGGCACAGCTGCCAATCACACGACCCACTCGGCTGGCCACAGGCATGTGCATGCACCTCAGGCCTATCCATTACTGCACCCTCGGTGTCCCTGTCACAGTGATTCCTTTAAGGAGAAGATCACTGTGGAAAGGAGGTTCTTAGTAAGCCTCCAGCGTGCTTGGATCTGGTGTGAACCTGTGCATTCCTAAAGCGCTTGCTAGAGCAGCTTTGAAATGGTTTGAGGCCTTGCCCTGCTCTATCCAGAGCAAGGTAATAGAAATTTCAGACAGTTGTCCACTGCCCTCCAGATCCAGTACATCTCAAAAAGGCAGCTGCTTGCCATGTATGGTTAAGTTAAAAGCAAATAAAATGTAAAGCCCACTTTATGGTTCACATAGCCACATCTCAGGTGCTCAACAGCCATGTCGAGTGAGTGGCTTGTGCAGACCCAAGGGACTTAGGAAGCTGTTGAGCATTTACTGGGCTTGGTGCAGATTTTATTATATCCTTAAAACAAGCTTTACGAGAGCATGAAGTGAAGCGCGGCAGGGGTTGGGGGAGCCGAAGCAGCAAAGCAGAGCACAGCTCCAGGAGCTCTGCCCAAGAGGCCCTGACAGTCAGAAGGCCGACCCAGAAGACCTTGGCGCCACCCTATTGGGCGCTGAGAATAGGAAGCTGGGGCTTTGAGTTATCAGCATGGAGTGGTTTGGGGAGCCACACACATGGGCAGCCCTGGGGCAGAATGGTGTGTCCAAGACTGCCCGGCCAGGAACCGCAGGTGATGGCTTGATGCCAGGCCTCTGGGCCCATGGCCTGTGCTCTTTTCCAGGATGCCAGCTGAGGAAGGAATCCACAGCAGGAAGGAAACTCCCTGTATGTTCCTGCCTTGGTGTGAGGGCCACTGGGGACGTTGAGAGATGGACTGGCTTGGAAGGGGACAACACAGACTCTGTGTCGCTGGCGATGCGGTTACCTATCTCTAAGGTCAGGACTTCCACATACTTGTCTCTATAAAATAAAATTAAAAAAAAAGAAAGAAAGAAAGAAAGAAAGGCTCTTCTTTTACTTACATAAGGAAGCAAGCGGACGTGTTACAAGTGGCTAAGTCAAGATGGAAATGGTTAAGAAATTAGCAATTCTTGAATAGTTAATTAGCTGGTTAAGCAATCTGATGTATGAATCAGCCTACCTATGAGCCTATTAAACTTTGGGAACTTGGTTAAAAAATGTCAGGCTCGTTAGTCTCAACAATCTTTGGAGCCTGTAAGAAACTGGTTTCCTCACCTCAAATTCCATTTAGCCCTCATGAGCCCCATCAGTGTGTTACCATTGTCAATGACCTTTCCAAACGGTAAATTTGATCATATGGCTCTCCTGCTCACAACATGTAACTCTGCACTGCTTACAAGACAAAGCACAACTGATCAGCTGTCCAAGCAATGTTTATTTGAGATTAAGTCTTCTTAGACTCTGGTATCTCCAGATTTCAGCATGGCAAACCACTCATGTTTCCTGTTGCCTATTACTACTCATGTCCTATTTTCTTCGCAGATTGATCTACTCTTTGAAAATCACAACATGCCCTCCATCTACATCATTAAAAACTAAAATCTGAAGTTGTTCCCACACATTGGCACTGATCTGTGAATGATTCTGTGCCACAAAATTAGGTAGCTCAGAAGACGTGCTAAGTTCCTGGAAAGCCACAACTGCTAAAACGACTCAACAAGAACCATAAAATCTACTTAGGTCTATAACAAGTAAAGAACCTAAAACAGTTTAAAAAATTACTCAAAAAGGCCAGACCTAGTTTGCAAACTAGGCCAACTGTATCAAACGTTGAAAAAAATTAGTACAATTTCTTTTAGAAGTAGAAATATTTCCCAACTCATTCTAAGGCTACTATTACCAGATAACAAAACCAAAGTCGTGACCTAAAAGGAAACTACAAATGTATCTTAAGAATGCAGTTGTAAAACTCAAGAAAATAGTAGCTATTCAAATCCAGCAATACATAAAGAGAATTTTGTGTTATAAAAAAGAGATTTATCAGAGGAAAACAATATTAGTGTAACACTAAAAATCAATTAATATAACAAACTATGTCACTAGAATGAAGAACCCGAACCATAATTTTCTCAATTTAAATACTTTCACAAAAAGCATTTAGCAACATCCAACAGTGCTTCATGATAAAAACAGTCAACGAACCTGGAATAGAAGAGAATTTCCTCAATCAGATACAGGGCATCTAAAAAGCAAAACCCAAAACCCCCAAATCTAGTATCATACTTAATGGAAAAAGATGAAATATATTCCATGTAAGAACAGGACTAAGCCTGTCTACCCGCATCACTTCTGTTTAACGTGTACTATAATGCCAGCCAGGACAATAACCAAGAGAAGAAAGTAAAAGACATCCACATTGGAAAGGAAGAACTAAAATTATCACAGAGGCAATTACTTGTAGATGACAAGTTGTTATATATGGAAAATTCTAAGAAACACACTAAAAACTATTAGAACTAATAAAAAAGTTCAATAAGGTTGCAGATACAAGAATAATATACAAAGAACAATGGGATTTCTATATACTATAGCAGCAGTGAGACACCCAAAAATGCAGCTCAGAAAATAATCACACTAAAACAAGCAGAAATAAAGTTAGAGATAAACATAACAAAAGTTCAAGTTATGCACTAAAAATAAACATAAAAATACTGAAAACCAAAATAAGTGGAAAGACATCCCATGTTCATAGACCGACAGATTTTATTAAAACTGCAATGTGTATCAAATTGATTCACAGATTCAATACAATTCATATTAAAATAAAAAAGAACTACGGGGCTTCTTCACAGAAAGTAACTAGCTAATTGCAAAACTTGTATGAAAATTCAAGAGCTAGAGTAGCTGCAATACCGACAAACAAAAAACACGGAACTCACAATTTGAGGACTCATACTTGCTGATTTCAAATTGTATTATGAAGCTACAGTGCTAACAAGGTAATAATGACATGAAGAACAGACACACAGATCAAACAACCAGCTACTAGTCTAGAAATAAACCTCCACATTTATGACCAATGGTTCTCAAAAAGGCATAAAACAATTCATAGGGGAAGCTAATAGTGCCCGGACAACTGAACAAGGAAGTGGGAGACTTCACACCACGTACAAAAAGTACTTAAAGGCTTAATGTAAGAGAGCCACAACTTGGGGCTGGGAATTTAGCTCAGCGGCATAAGCGCCTGCCTTGCAAGCAGGCAGTCGTGAGTTCAATCCCAGGTACCGATAAAAACGAAAAAGACAAAAAAAAAAAAGAGAGCCACAACTTAAGACAATACACATGAATCTCTGTGACTGTCAGCTAGCAATAATTTCTTAGGTATGACACTACATGTAAAAACAACAAAAGATTTTGAATTTATCAGTAACTTTTGTCCTTCAGAGGATACCATCAAGAATCAGAAAAGACAACATAAAATGAGAGAAAAATACTTAAGTCATGTATCAATTAAGGGAGTTACATCTAGAAAATATAAAGAATTCTTGTAACAAAATTCATAAGACAGACAAATAGTTCTATTTTAAATGTAGGAAAAAATTAGAAAAAAAACTTCTCCAAATATGTAAGTAGTCAATAACACGAAAGCTGCTTAACATCATTAGTCATGAGGAAACGTAAATTAAAACTCCAATGAGGCCAAGGATTTAGCTCAGGATGTAAGTGCCTGCCTGGCAAGCTCAAGGTGGTGAGTTCGATCCCCAGTACGAGAAAAACAAAACAAAACTACAATGAGGTATCACTTCAGATCCATTAGCATGGTTAAAATAAAAATAACAAATGTGAATAAGAAAGTGAAGAAACTGGAATCTTTAAAAACTGATGTAGCAGGGCTGGGGATTTAGCTCAGAGGCATAAGCGCCTGCCTTGCAAGCAGGCAGTCGTGAGTTCGATCCCTGGTACTAATTTAAAAAAAAAAAAAAACAAACCTGATGTAGCCACTTTGGAAAACAGTCTGTCAGGTCCTCAAGTGATGACATATAGAGTAAACATGTGACCCAGCAATTCTCCCTAGTTACACATCCAAGAAAAAGACGTGTGTCCACATAAAAACACGTACACAAATGCTGATGATGGTTTTATTTATGACAACCCCAAAGTGGAAGTCACTTAAATGTAATTAACTGCCGGACATGATGGCACAGGCCTATAATCCCAGTACTCTAGAGGCTAAGGCAGAAGGACATCCTGAGTTCAAAATCAGTTGGGGCTACAAAATGAATTCAAGGCCAGCCCAAACTGCACAGCAAGACGCTGTCTCAAAAGGACCAAAAAAAAAAAAGTAATTAACTGATAAATGGGTAAACAAAACATGATATCTTCATTCAAACAAAATGTGCCATATTCATTCATTACCATCTGCAGGAAAAGTGTCAAAGCACTGACACAGGCTACAACAAGGATGAACCTGGGAAGCGTTGTTAAAAAAAAGATCAAATGCTGCACAATTCCAGCGACCCAAAGTGTTCAGAACAGATAAACCTATAAAGACAGAAAATAAAGTAGAAGTTGCCTAAGTTGGAGGAATGAGCTGGGTGAAATGAGGGTGGATTAACAGGTTCACGGTTTCCGGTTTGGTCCTGTAATATGTTCTCAAATTGACATTAGTGAAAGTTGCACAACTTAGACTACACAACCATTGACCTGTACTTATTAAAAGGTAATTTGGGTTGGGGTCTTTTTGAGACAGGGTCTCACTATGCAGTTCAGACTGGCCTTGAGCTCACTTTGTAGCCCACGTTGTTCTTGAACTTGCTGAGATGATCCTTCTGCCTCAGCTTCCAAAGTGCTGTGGTTACAGGCATGCATCACGATGCCTGGCTTAAAAGGTAAATTTTGTGATATGTGAAATGTATTGTAACAAAATTGTTATAGATCTTCCCATCAACCATATATGCCCTTCCACATGCCTAATCCTTCTACCAACCCAGGCACCTGTGGTTTCCCATACCACCATGTACACACTTTTATTGTACAGTATGTGCCACAATAATTATCTTCATCCATGTGTGTAAAGGTCTAACTCTCCAATCTAATATTTACTTAAGGCACAGGCTGAGCCTTATGCGGGAAGTGCTCAGTAATATTTCTTGAATACTTTCCTTTAAATTCTAGTCCAGTCTCATATAGTTCCATATTTTTACGGTGTGAACAAACTACCTAGATGTTTTACTTTTCTACCGGTTCACGAGTACACAGAGATCAAGTGCACAGAGATATTTCATCAGAGTGTGACAATACACAAAACACCAGGACCTACTCAGAATTTCATCTTGGGGACTAAGTATGTGACCAACATCCGTTATAAGTAGCAGCCTTAGACTCTCATTAGCTATGACACTTCTCTTTCCTCTTTCTAGACTACTTGTTAAGGTTTCCCCTCTAATCAGGATTACTAGGTCATAGGATAAAGGTACCTGCGTTCTCGGAGCCCCAACAACTCGGGAGGTAGAGTGTATTTTATCTATTAAATTTGGCCCAAACTTTCCTCAAGGAACTATATGAAACAGCCAATTCCACTTATTTCTCTCCCTTTTTCTTTCCTTTTTTCTTGCTCAGGACTGAACCCAGGGTCACAGGTATGCTAAGCATGAACTACAACACTAAATATACCACTAGTCCATTCTCTTATTATGTTGTTTTTAGTTTAACTTCAAGACTTTTCTGGAATTTATAAACATTTTAGGAACATGGACTGATGATTACAACAGCAATTATCTAAAATAAGGAAAGGGCTAACTTCTGGTACAACTTATGTAGCAAATTCAAACAATACTTCTAAAGAGTCAGTAATCTCAATGAGAAAAACATGTGAAAAGCAGTCTATAAAACTGTACAGATGCGGCCAGGGATTTAGCTCATGGCAAGCACGAGGTCATGAGTTCGATCCTGGTACAAAAAAACCCAACCAAACAAACAAAAAAAACCAATTGTATAGACACACACGCTTTTGAACAATGTAAAAACTATCAAACAGAAAAACCAGGAGTGAATCAAAATGTTGACAGTAATTGTTTATAAATAGATTTGAAGTGGGTTTGCTAGCTGGGCATGGTGGTGCACACCTGTAAAACAAGCACATGGGAAGCTGAGGTAGGAGAATTGTGGTGAGTTTGAGACCAGCCTGGGTTACAAAGTGAGCTCAAGGCCACCCTGAACTGCACAATGAGACCTTGTCTGAAAAAGACAAAAAAAAAAAAAAAAAAAAAAAAAAAAAGTGGGTTTGCTTCTTTGTTATACTTTGTGTTTTTCAAAATAAGCATAAATTTGTTTTATTAAATTTTTTAAAAAGGCTGATGAACTGAAGGTAAGAATTACAGGAAGAAAGAGTCCTTACCTAGGGAGGTGACATTCCCATAATTTTCCAGCATCACATCCCAGTACAAGGCTCTCTGGATCGGGCCCAGACATGCCCATTCCTCTGACGTGAAGCATACTGATACCTCCTCGAACATTACCAACTCCTGAAACAAGAAGCATATGTGAGATTACCAACGCCTGGGACTTCCCTACAAATAGGATCTTTTTGCTTCTAGGAACAGGATACATTGTGAGGTCACAAGGTGAGACGCAGATATCAAGGAGAACTAAGGGGACCCTCTGTGATGAAGTTTGTCTTCCAACAGATGGACCTTGATTTAGAGTTGGGGGCTGAGAGGGCAGCCCAGCACCAGGACAGCAATTCAGCAATGGGGACAGAATAGAAGAAGAAGGCCAGACTTACCTGGGGCTGGGCTGTAAGGAGCATAAGTGCCATTAATTGGTTTCGTGGGTTTTCTTCCTGGGAAAGGATAGAAGCTTCAGGGGCAGGAGAATCTGAGGAAGGAAACCAACACCGTGTGAGATTCCTCTACTCTTATCTACCCAGCCAGTCTAACACTGTCTACAAATCAGGGTCTCAGAATGACCCAGACACCAGGCTGAGGCACAGTGGCTGCACAGGGACTACTTTTCTGAGTGACTCCTGTGTGAAGGGCTGGAATATCCCGAGTGTAGCAATAAGAATGGATGCAGAGTCAGAGGGGACAGGAGGGCCAACAGCAGGTACAGCAGAAGGAGATGGAGGTGGAAAGGATGCCTGCACAGGGCAGGAGAGGAAGCACCACTGCCTGCTTGCAGGAGCCCCAGAAGGCGTTTGGAAAAGGAAGTACCATGTGGAGAGTCCTGGAGACTGAAAAGCACTGGGTCAGGAAGAGGGTTCGGGTGGATTTCGGCTGCTAAGTGGCTGCTGGGAGGTGCAGGAGGACGCGCTGCTCCTGGAGCACTGGACCTCTCCTGGATAGGGTCCTGGCTGTCAACAGGTACCAGAACCTGAGGACAAACCAAAACACAAGTTGGCTTGACTCGTTTCTTTGGAAATGGACTCACTGAACGACCATGGACCTCTTTCTGTCCTCAAGAGGTCAAAAAGACACACCTCAAATAGAAAGCCACAGAAGAGCGGCAGAGCTTTGCAAGGGGCACAGGAGAGCTGCTCTCCAGTCCTTCTCTGGCACTGCGGCCTCTCCAGGGGGCTGCACAGGACAGGAAACAGAAGCCAACCTGTGTGGGCCCGGGAGGGGATGGAAGCACCAAGCAGGAGCGGAGAGCACAGGTCATCTCAGACCTAGCTGTACGTCAGACTTGGGCTCAGTCCTGTGTCTTCTACTTCCTGACCCCTTTACCCTTAACCTAGACCTTCCTGCTCCAACACACTAACACTGCAGTGAAGGCCGAGATGCGCACTTCTGCTGCTAGCTGCGTGCTCACCTACGACGGCAATCCACGGAGTCTTTCTGCTTCAGTTTTCTGATCCCTCAAATGAAGATGTTTTAGCGACCTACAATGATAGACAACTCTAAAACCTTCCACTTTTAGATTAACACAAGCCTATTCTTTTTGTTTTTCTGAGATAGGGTCTTGCCATGTAGTTCATGCTGATCTTGAACTTACTATGTGGCCCAGTGTGGCCTCAAATTCGCTGAGACTCTCTTGCCTCGGTTTATCAAGGGTTGGGATTACAGGTATGCACCACTACACCCAGCATGAACCCATTCTTGATGCCATTGCTGTTTGAGTAATGATTCAGACTTCTTACACAAAAATGTCTCTAGCGGGCCACAGATGTACAGAAAGAAATCTCACACCCACACGATTCCAACCTGAAGATCAAGGATACAAGGTCTCATCAGAAGCAAGCATCTTACTCCCTTGTCTTGCAGAATTGTTGCAGGGTCACACAAGGGGGCTCATCCTAGACCTAGAAAGCTTGCTGTACTACTACTGCCTTTCACACTTCAGGCTCCTATCCCTATTCTGCACGTTCTTACAGAGAAAACCCACACAGGAGCTGAACTTAATTGTTAATAAACATCCCCCAGAGGGACAAAGTGGAATCAATGCTTATGCATTGTTTCCAAGTTAGATCCAAAGGCCTTATGCATAAATCGTCCTCTTTGTTAATATAACCTATGGTCCACACAGTTTTTGAACCCACTTTAATTAGCACCAAGTTGCTCATGTGCCATCAATTATTAACGAAAATCCAGGATCACCCACCAGCAGGCCCCAGTTCTTTCCTTCCCCCACTTGCCCCCATGCCAACCCTTCTCACCTTTAGCGCTGGTCCATCTAGGTACTCCTGCATATCCACCACCAGGGCCACAGCCTCCTCCCCACTTCCAGGCCGATGGAGCTGCACCCAGGCTCGCAGCTCCCCCGGCAGGATGCTCAGGAACTGCTCCAGCACCAGCAGCTCCAGGATCTGGGCCTTGGTGCGTGCTTCTGGCCTTAGCCACCGGCGACAGAGCTCCCGGAGCCGGCTCAGGGCCTCCTGAGGTCCGGAGGTCTCGTGGTAACGCAGCTGTCTGAACTGGGTGTGCGAGGTTTCCCACACAGAGCAGCTGCTGCCTGGATAGCTGGCTCCCCACTTCCAGGTATCATCCTTCCCCTTCCCAAGGCCCTCTTGTGACAAAGCGCTGTGGGCCCAATTCTCTCGTGTCATTGCTGTCTTCTAAGAAAGCTTCCTCTCCAGGCTCCCCTAATCTTTGCTTGCCTTCTTCCTTAGAGCTTGGAGAATGTCATCTCTAAGGGCTCAAGAAATCATTGTGAAGGCCAGGAATTTAGCTCAGTGTCTTAAGTGCTTGTTTGACAAGTGTGAGGTCATGAGTTCGAAGCTTGGCACACACACGCAAAAAAAAAAAAAAAAGAAAGAAAAAAAGAAAGAAAGAAAGAAAGAAAGAAAAGAAATCATTATTAAAATTAGCTAGAGAAGTAATTTAGCTGTCCCCAGGCAGCTCCTAGTAGTAAGAAGAATCTTCCGGAACCAGGATTTGGGGCTCCTGGGTCTGCTTCGTTTGACAGGATTAAGGCCCTGAGAACAGGCTCTGCTAAAACCAGCAACATAGGCCGGGTGTGGTGGTATACTCCTGTAATCCTAGCATTCTGGAGGCTGACGTAGGAGGAATGTTGAGAGTTCGAGACAAGCCTGGGTCACAAAGTGAGCCTAAGGCCAGCCTGAACCTCACAGTGAGACCCTGTCTCAAAAAAGGAAAAAACAAACAACTAGCAACATGGAAAAGCTCTGGCCTTTATTCAAAGGCTCTCTTCCACCAAACTACAAGAAACTACCATTTATGTGGGCCTCCTGGATACTTCTGTAGCTCAACAAGTTACCCCACTCCTAAGCCTTTACTTCTTAACCTGTGAAACAGGGGTACTAGCAGTCCCTACCTTGTAAGGCAATGAGAATGTGACATCTAAGCATTTTGCTTTTGTGTGTGTGTCTGCATATGTGTCTTTTGGGGGACTGAAATTGGCCTTTGCAACGAGCTACATCCTCACCCTTTTATCTTTTCATTTTGAACCACAGTTTCACTAAGTCACTAAATGCTCAGGCTGGGCCCAAACTTGCATTTCTCCTTCCTTAGCCTCCTGAGTGCTAGGACTATGGGCATGTGCCACCCTGCTTGGCTCTAAACATACTTCAAGGTGGGTTTTGTTTGTTTTTGCCAGCTGGGACCTGATCTAAGGGTGACAATGTTGTAGGCAAATGCTCCACTAATGGGCTGTACCTCCACCACATTTCAAGTTTCTGAACAGTGCCTGACACACGGACTCAAATGTTAGTGGTTCTTCTGAAACAAGCTTCCTCTCCTGCGCTCAGCAGAGTCAAAGAGAAAGCATAGTCTTAATCTGGACATATATGGGGAAAATTCTGACAATTAGCAAAGAAAGTTACTGTGTAACTTTGCAGTAATACTTTGAAAATTGTTCATTCTGTGGATCAAAATATTGGAAGTGCTTTGTTTTTATAATTTCAAAATTTTTCCTATTTTTCATTTCTAAAATTAATTTTCATTAATGCATCTTTGTTATATATAAGGAATCTCTACACCACAGGTAGCTGGTAACTGCACAAAGCACATCTTTGTATTACTTTGAATAAGGTTTGTTGTTTAGAAATCACCCATCTATTGAAATAACACTTATATTTCTGATTACAAAGTGGGAAAATGCTGAAACTGAAAAACATACACACACCAGGAAACTGCTGAACTGTTTTGGGCTATGCCCTTCTAGTCCTTTTTCTATGCATGAATCTGGATCACCAGCTTGGATCTGACTGTACAACTTGCCGTCTCCCATATTCACTGTGAACATATTAAACACTGCTCATTATTTTAAAGGGTCATATGAGTCTGGCCACAATCAGCTTCCTGTTGCTAGATATTTAGTTTATTTCTAACTTTTTCCTATTGTAAGTAAGGCCACAATGACTATCCTTGATGAAAAACTCTGGTTAACCATACGCCCCCAATCAAACCCAAGGCCTAGTGCATGCTAAGCAGGTGCCCTATCTCTGACTGACATTCCCAGCCCACTCTATTTTTTTCAAGATAAAGTTCTATAAGAAAATTTGTTGGGTCAAAGGTTACAATTATTATTAAACTGTTAAGGTGCTAACAGTCACACAATCAGTGACAGACAAAAGTATTTCAACTAATTTCATTTAACAGAAAGCTTCAAAGAGCTTGGTTATAAACAAGCAGAAAAGGCAAAAATATAAACACTATTTCAATATAATGTGTAAATGCAACTACTAGGAGAACATATAAACACAGGAATCATGAGAAGGAGTTTCAGACTGAACATTAAAGGAAAAATAAGCAGACCAATGGATATCATGAAAAATATTCCAGAAATTTTTTTTGGAACCAGGAATCAAACTCACAACTTTGCACGTGCTAAGCAGATGCTGTGCTGCTGAGCTATATCCCTAGCCCCAAGAAACTATTTTTCACAGCCAAGAGGCTGACCTCACACACAGCTCTCTCTGTTAGCAATGAGCTCTGAGGCATTTTGCTAATGTGTGCCGCCCTGGGTTCAATCTCCAGCATGGAAAGGGAGAAGGGGTGGGGGGTGGGCAGGATAGGACGGGATAAGACAGATAGGACAGCAGGACAAGGAAGACAAATGGGCTTTGCAAACCAAAGAAGGAAAGTAAACTTTGGAGGTAAGATTGCAGGAATAGAACAGGAAGGTAAGCAGAGGTCAAATTCTAAAGGTTCCTGAGGGGCAGAATAAGATGATCATGTCTTATAAATAATGAGCAACTGGTGCTGGGGATTTAGCTCATTGGCTTAAGTGCTTGTCTGGCAAGCACAAGATCATGAGTTTGATCCCTGGTATCAAAACAAAACAACAACAACAACAAAAAAATGTTAAGAGTTTACTTGACATGTCCCTTGTGTTTTTGTTTTTGTCTTGGCTTTTTTGAAACCGCTTCAATATGCAGTTCAGGCTGGCCTTGAACTCACTTTGAAGCCCAAGACTTGAAGCGAAATCCCTGCCTCAGCTTCCCAAGTGTGCCCCATGTTATTTTCTTAACGGGTATCAAACTCACGACTTCACACTTGCCAGATAGGTATTGTGCTGCTGCACTAAACTCCCGGCCCTCCCCTTGTTATTTTTAAAAACAGTTAACATAGGGCTAGGGATTTAGATCAGTGGCTTAAGTGCCTGCCTGGAAAGTGTGAGGTCATGGGTTCAATACCGGTACCAAAAACACAAACACAGTCACTAGGGTCAAGGTTAGAATTACAAAACAAATACTGTGTAGCTTCCCTCTCCCCATTAGTTTGCTATGCACCTTTCCAGCTACTTACCTACACAAAGGAATATATACACATACTGTTGTGCAACTCCCTTTTCTCACAAATGGTAGCCCATCATGTTAATGGGTTCCACCTGCCTTTCTCCATAATGCATCCTGAAGATCTCTCCAATGACTACACAGTTCTACCCCACTTTTACTGCTCCTTAGTTTATTTTGCACTTCAGCACTGATGGGATATTTAGGTAATTTTCAACCTTTTATTACCACATGTCACCAATAACCTTGACCATCCATCAGTCTTCGTGTGTACAGGCATAAACAGTTCCTTGAAGCAGAACTGTTTCAAGGTCAAAAGGTGTGTACATTCATAACCCAGATCCTGCCAAGCATCAGTACCCATGATGGCACCAACCTACAGTCTACCTTCCCCTCAGCAAGAACTGAGAAGCAGAGCCTCTCTCCTCACTTCACCAATGCAGCTGGCCAGGACCGCAATCTGTGCCTTGTTTAGTCAGGGTCATGCAGTACTGTCCAGGTTAGCCTCATGACTTTACAGCCCCAGAGATCTTCGCAACTCAGCCTCCTGAGTGCGGGATGACAAGCATGTGACACAAAGTCTATTATTTCTGCTAAATATTTAACTTGTATCACGAGTAAATGAGTATATTGAGTCATTCTGTGAAATTTTCACATATTCCAGTCATATTTCTCTTGGGCTGCTGGGTCTCACTGTTTTAGACATACTCCATATCCAAATCTCTGGCTTACAATAGGAGCTGGGGATTTCTGCATTTGCTATGTTTTTGTCATATGTATCACTTAATTCTGCTTATCAAGGTTTCTGCCATGCACTCTTTTGTTTTAGGTTTCTGGGTGCTGAGCCAGGATTTGCTGTTTCACTGAGCATTGTGAAGGGAGCCTTAAATAAAGAGTGCAGAATCGATAAGGAAGGGCAAGGGAAATTAGGTATTAGCAAGGTCAGTTACATTTCTGCAGTGAAAACGTGGTTAATGGGGCTGGGGATATAGCTAAGGACACAAGTGGCCTGTCTGGCAAGTACGAGATCCTGAGTTTGATTTTCAGTACACCCGCCCAATTAAAAAAATGTGTTTAACTCTTTAAAATTTAAAAAAAAAAAGAAAATGTGATTAAGCTCTAAAAAACTTAGCAAGAGAGATGAAGCTACTGAGAAATACTTAACAGTTCTTGGTAATCACCACGGGGGATGCAAAGAATTTTGTAAAAGTATTTTAAGTAACGGTCTACTTGAATTATCAGAATTCTATTCACGATTATTCACAGATAAAAGGGACAAATCTTAAACGTAGACTCAGCTTGCTTCTCACAAAATGTGTTTGAGGCACAAGTTAAGAGAGCCCTCAAAAGCTTGTGATTTACGCAAACACTCAGGTAAGTTGGGGGGAGCAAATTCTGAACTCCAAGCCTCCAAAATGATTCCACAGAAGAAAATCACGAAACCCAAATAACAGCTACCTAAAACAGTTTCTAAACACTTAAGTCCTGATAAAGCTTTAATGTAGCAAGCTACAAGAAGAGAAACGGTCCCAGCCGACAGGTTGGCAATCACTTTTGTGTGTGCGCGCGCGCAAAGGGCAGCACCCATATTAAAATGTAATCTTCTCAGTAACGGCGGCATGCGTGGTTTGCTTTCTAAACACTGTCATATTATCAAATTACAAGATGACAACAGGTCCTTCCCTAAAAACACCACCATGCCCTGAGGAAGTCTCACGCCGGTTCTCTGCACCCCGGGCAGAGAGGCTGAGGAGGGAATCTGGAGGTCCGCTCTGGGGTCACTGCAGACTCGCGGTGCCGTACTCAGTGCCTCTCCGCCCGCCACGTGCCACTCCTGGCCACCGCGGAGACCCAGACCCTGCCCCACCCAGCTCACCAGTGGCTGTCGGTGCCGCTCCAGCCTCCCGGCCTCATCCTCAGCTCCTGGACCCCGGGAGATGACACCGGAACCGGAAGAGGCGCAGCAAAGCGCCATCCGGGCAGCCGCGCCGGCGTCCAGCGGCTTCCGGTTGCGCCCAGCCGGTTTCTCTAGGCGGCTAACTCGTTCTCGTTCGTAGCTTTTCCAGGAGGCTGGTGTGCAGAGTATCTCTGGAGTTCAGCTCTTTGTGACAGGCTGAGGGTGCCCTAATGGAAATGGATTCTTGGCTCTTGAAAGCCACTGCTGGTGCCTGAATTACCCAGCAGCATTTCTTCCAGCTCCACCCCAAGAAGGCGCACTTTTCAACAGTATGTCACTGGCAGTTTCAGTGCAATGAAGCTCAATTTCAAAGCAGAGCAGCTGGGGTATCAGGAAACACAAAAAGAAAGGAAGAGAAATCAACAGTGTAAACACTGTTATAGGAGGGTCTGTACCCATGGTTAATTTCATTTGCTCCTCATGTGAATCCTTTGAGACATGTACTGCTGTCACAGCTTTAAAAATACTGAAAACAAGGATCTGTGAGTCAAATTTATTGGCTATTCCTCGTAACTAGTAGTGCTTTGAAATCCAAGTACTCTCTCCACCACCTATGTCGTTTCTTGACCCAAATGAAGCAGGCGCATTGAATGCTTGCCTCAGCATTGAGGGAAGATGGATGTACGGAAGCACGAGGAGAAAAGCCAGGACAGTCAGAAGAGTTTCTCAGACCTGGTTATCACGCTGCAGGCAGGTCTTGGAGAGGTCATGCTAATGTGAATGCGAGTCGGCATTAAATGCTCGGCTCACTGGGGATTCATCGTAGACTGATAACGTGGTATGGGATGGGAAGCAGAGACCTTATCCTCAACTTTCCCACAGGTCGTGACTCTCCCCCCACCTCCAGTGTTGGCAGTTCAACCCAGGGCATTGACACTGAGCTACTTCCCCAGCGCTTTTTATTGAGGCAGGTTCTTGCTAAATTGCTCAAGATGGACTCAAACTTGTGATCCTCCTGCATCAGCCTCCCACACAGGTGTACATCACCACATCTAGCCGATGGCTTGAATCTACTGTGCTATGGCAAGGCCTAAAAGTGACAGATCCAAGAAAAATAAATGTAAATGGTAGTAAAAATGTAACTGAGCCCTTTTCTAAGATTTCTTCCTCAAGTACTAGAAAAATAAATTACTACATAGTGAAGAGCCAATTTTGAAATATTAAAATTCTTTGAGATAAGTATTAAAAGCAAATTTTGCTTTTTATTTACGATTCTCTGTGCTGTCACCAGGGCACCTCTGCCAGCCTGTTTATATCGCCGTGAGGAAATGGCTATGCTCACCTAAAGCCCAAATTCTAATCTGCGTAAGTATGAAGAGCGCAAACTTCACCTAGAAGTCACCATCACTGAAAACTGCTCCTTAAAGGAAACTAGGTTGAACTGTTTTATTCTCATTCTGAGCAAAGAAGGAAAAATAACCCTAAACACTAGTCATATTTTTAAGAACAGGTTTATTGGAGGAACTATCACCATTTCTTGCAAAAACAATTTTATGAAGCCAGTTTTATATTGGAGGTGATTAACAAGTTTCATGATTACCACCTAAACAATAAAACCATCCTTTTATTTATACTGAATGGAAAAAGGAAACTAAGAGGAGAGCTGCATTGAATTTAATCTTGGAATTTAGGCAATGTATTTTCTCATCTACTTAATGCTACTTTTGGTTTCAGTTTCTTCCAAAATCTAACATGGTACATACCAGGTATGAAGAAAAATCTCTCAAGGAGACATCATATTGCTCTCTAAGCAGGTTTACCTTAAGTATTTTATTTCGCTCCCCCAAGACATAGTTCCTGCTGGCTTTAAACTGCGTACCCCAAGCTGGCCTCAATCCTGCTTCAGCTTCCAGAGTGCATGTTTCCTTTAATTAAGAGCATATGTAAGATTAGTTTCACTTTCCACTCATCTAGGTGCAAGTATACTCTCACTTCACACAAGGCAATTCTATACAACCAGGGTGGCTGTAAACTATTTCCTTTCTATATTTCACAGCAATATTCAGAGCATCAAAAACACGAATGAATAGAGTGCCCAGGAAGCCAGTGGGTAACAAACAGGTGGGTAATGCACAAGTTTCATGAGATAATTTCAAGACAGCCAAGTTTCTGGTGGAGAACAGAGAAGAAACAGCAGTATGGAGGAGTATGTGGGTTAAATGACAGAAAAATTAGCAATCAAGGGATTGTGGAGAAAACACTGTCCTTAATAGTTAAGGTTCTACTGAAAGACAGCCCCAATTCAGAGCAGTATGAAAGGGGTTGAAAGACGGGTCAGCAACAAGGCTATAATTTGTTAAATCTTGCTGCCAGGCAGCTTAAACCACTGGTGGAACATGTGTGACTGTCCCATCGGGTGGCTTAATTGTACTAGTAAAAAGAGCAATGAGAGGGAGTAGATCTGTTTTTACCACCAGTGGTATGAGGTGCCTGGTGGGCAGTCGTGTGTACCACTGGTGGCTCAAGCTAAGGGGAATGTGCTGAACTCCAAGGTTAACCTCTGGCAGTCCTGGCAGACTCTGAAGCTGGGTGCCCAGTTCAAATCACATACCAGAATATTTATCTTAAGGATGTAGGAACCTATTACATAACCATCATTCGCTTCTGCAGTTTAAGGCAGGCACTGGCCTAGAAGACAGGTGAAGGTTTAGAGGGCTGTAACCCTGGCTTTGTTAGAGCAACAAATGTGAGACTCTCCTGTGGTAAGGTTTCTGCATATAAGGTGAATTTTTTCTTGAAGGTATTGAAAGATCAGAGTCCTTTCATATGAAAAAGAAAGCCTATGTGAAGAAGTTCAGACTCTGTGACACAGTGGTAAGAAAATATCTGTTCAGTGACACAGGGTAAGTCATCAACTCCACTTAGTGATGAATGGCCCTGGAAGCAACACCTCGTTAAGCCCCTCAAGCCCTGCCTTGAATAACTGCAATATCAAAAAATTATATGTAAAACTGTCCTACCAAAATAGGACAAAGCCAAACAATCCTTTTCACAAAAATATATAAACCCTTCACTTCTTTGCTCTAACTAGAGGAAAGAAATATGTAACCCTTAAAACTAAGGTTTACAGTATCTTCCTAATGAAACCACGGTCCAACAACCGTTCAGGTACAATCACCTATAACAGAAGTAGCGGCCCAAGAGCGCCCTAACTGGTCCCTCACACAGAATCATTGTGGTGGGCAGAGGCACTTTGGTAAAACGAAGGCAGCATGAACTTCAAGGTCAGATTGTAGCTCATATCCTGACCCCAAACACTGACAGTCACCTAACCTTACTGAGGTCAGTCACCTAACCTTACTGAGACTCAATTGTCTTACACAATAGTAAGGTTAAATGAGACAAGTACCCTCAATAACCTGCAACAGTGAGTTGTGTGTGTAATACAAAGGGCCATGGGTTGAAGAGCTCACTGTACACAAGGGATGATGAAGAATGGAGGGTTCTCACTGCTGCCAGGCAGATTCTGAGGTAAAGACTTAAAAGTTCTGAATACTGGTTGAAGACAGGCAAAGGCCTCTCTGGAGGGCTGACACAGAGGTGGGAGACGCTGGAGCACTGCCTGCTCAACACTCTTCTCTCCCTTCTGCTGGGAAAGACTTTTTCCCAATGATAAATTAAAGGAACGTGGTGAGAAAGCCTAGGCTCCTTCCTCAATCCTGACTTCAGACACTGCCCTCATATTACAAAAAACACAGAAGTGATGATTAAGATTATGTAGTTATATTGGGAGTCTGAGAAGTTAGCCAAGCTTCCAAAGCAGACTTGGAGCTGGTTCCTTCTAGGTCTCTTCCTGAGGAAACAGCTAGGGTAAAGGTCCATGTACCTACTGCTTAGTAGCTCATTTATTTCACCTGAACATATCCTACACGCTACCTTTGGCACAGCTTCCCTTGAATCACTCTCCCCCTACAGTGCTGAGAAACACGGTCCCAATGTCTTACATGTGAGCTATCATGGTGTGCCATGCACCAGGCCTGCCATGACTTGCACTGTCACTGTCCTCATAGGAACCTGTGAAGGGGTTCACAGCAGGTTAGTGACAAGCTATGACTGCAGACTTAAGGTAGGAACACAGATCTCCCAACTCCAGTCTATGCTTCTACCAAGCTCTACGGAACATGTGAAGGCAAACTCTTCTTCTACCAGTTACACTTACTGGTAACTGTAACTTTTTCAGGTTTTTGTACCTATGATTATCTGTTTCCTGAGTATGCATTTTTGTAAGCTGTCTAAGCATATACTAAAAAGATGGAACCTAGGTAATTCTGCATCATTTAACAGATCTTTCCACTACTGAAAGATGTTGTAAATTTTTTGCTGTGTTCTTTTAATACAAGTGATTATATACTTTTTTGACAACTCGAAAGTCGATTTAAAACTGCAAAACATAAAGGATCAGTGTTGGTGGTTTTACTAACATGAAAGAGGCCCTAAACCAACTGACTTGGTCATGGTCCCCTTCTAAGTGCCAGACTGCATTTAATCCTGAGGCCTTCTATTCGTACACTGTGAGCATTTTCTAACTGTTCCATGAAAATGAGCATGAGTTCACTGAATTTAAAAAATACCATCTTTTTACTAAATATAAAAGTAGTATTCTCACTGTAGAAAATCTAGAAAGCATAGAAAACTATAGAAACTACCTATAATCTTTCACCCAGAGGTAATCACCATTAATATTTTGGCGTAGTTCACTTCCATGCTTTTTCTTAGGCATGTGTTTTTAAAAATTGGAATATATTTTATTGTGTTCATCTTTCTCTTAATCCAGACATTTCTCCGTATCATTCTATATATTTTTTGAGATGGGGGTCTCACTATCCTGGTCAGATTACCTTGAAATTTACAATCCTCCCACCTCAGGATCCAGAGTAGCTCAGCTTATTCTTTAAAACTGTTTACAGTGCTAAAGAATCATTTTTTGGATAGAACATCATTCATTTAATCCTGTACTGTTGAAAAAATCTAGATTTTTTTTCTATTTCAGTTATAAATGAAAGAACATTCTTTTAGAATATTCCTTTTGTTAACTTCATCTGTTTGTTATTACTACCTTTTTTTACTGGGGATCAAACTCATGACTTTGTGCTTGCCAGTCAGGCGCTTATGCCAGTGAGCTAAATCCTCGGCCCTACTTACTACTTTTTTGTATAGACTCTTGGAAGTAGAATCAAGGTTACTGATACTACTTGCTTTTCAGAAAAGTAGCAAATAGCCCTATTACCAACACTGTGTATTATTTAAGAGGTTTCTTTCTCCTCATTATGTCTTCTCTGATGTTGAATAAGCTGTGAGCTGTAACGATAAGCTTTGCCACATTCACTGCATTTATAGGGTTTCTCCTTAGTGTGAGTTCTCAAATGTAAAATAACTTGAGAAGTCTGCCTGAAAGTTTTCCCACATTCATTGCATTTATAAGGTTTCTCGCCAGTATGGACTCTCTGATGATCTATGAGGTTTCGATTGGAGGTAAAGGCTTTCCCACACTCATTACATTTGTAAGGTTTCTCTCTACGATGGAGTCTCTGATGTTCATGAAGGGTCTTACTTAAAATGAAAGCTTTGCCACACTCATCACACTCAAAGGGTTTCTCCCCAGTGTGAATTCTCTGGTGGTCCATTATCTTTGTATTAGAACCACATGTCTTCCCGCACTCCTTACATTTGTAAACTTTCTTTCCTTTGTGCATCCTCTGATGTTGAGTGAGGTTGGAACTCCGGCTGAAGGCTTTCCCACACTCGGTACAAGTGTAGGGCTTCTCCCCAGTGTGAACTCGGTGGTGGGAAATAAGCCCTGAGCTCCGACTGAAGGCTTTCCCACATTCCTTACATTCATACATCTTCTCTCCACTGTGGATTCCCTGGTGCCGGATGAGGTGGGACTTTCCACTGAAGGATTTCCCACATTCACTGCACGTGTAGGGCTTCAGGCCAGTGTGGATTCTCCGATGAACCACGAGGTTGGAGCTATGACTGAAGGCTTTCCCACACTCTTTGCACTTGTAGGGCTTCTCTCCAGTGTGGATTCGCTCGTGCACTGTGAGATTGGCACTCTGACTGAAGGCTTTCCCGCACTCACGGCATACGTACTGTCTCTTCTCAGCTTCCACTCTCTCATTTGTTATAGGTTTGTAGCACTGACTATCATCTTCTACAGATTCTTGGTCACTCACAACATTGTGTGCTTTGTTGTCCTTGACTGCCGTGTGTTTGAAGTTTCTCGTCTTTCTCCTCATTTTCTCCTGCATGGTGCATTCCAGTGGTCTCACTAGAAGTCCTCTTCCTTTCAGGGAGAGTTTGAGAATTTCACTTCCTTGACAACTTCTCTGTGGGATTTTCTTGTGAGTACAATGTAATTCATTTTACAGGAATGGTGCTTAAGAATCAACATCTCCTCAGTCTGTTTCACCATCTGACAGGAGAAACAGAAATTGAACAAGTCACCCTTCTCTATGTTAGGGGAAAGAGAATTCTCCATGGACAACTAGATGTGGTAGACCATGGAGTATTTTATGGAAAGTTCAAAGGCAGAACAACTGATCAGAAAAATGAAAAACATTAAGTCAGACATAAAGGGCAAGATAAAGAATCATGGAAAGGGACTGACAGGAGCCTAAAACGTTTACCCATAGAAAAAGCAATAAACAGTACAAAATCTACCCTGGATTCCCTCTGCTTCACTCCCAAATAGAAGCTATAGCACTCCTAATGCTAAGCTCAACTATATGATCCCCAAACAGGAATTAAACGATTCTTAGGTCAGCATCTGAAATGACTCATTTTCGTATCAGTTTGGCTTTTAGTTCTTGTTAAATTCTTTCCTTAGTAATACTGACAGAGTGGCTGGCACACAGTAGGCACTCAAAAATTGTTTTGTAGGATAACTGGGATTCTCTCTTAGGGTATGACTACATTCATCTTTTGGCATAAGTCCAGCTGTTCGACTCTGGCCTATCCTGTATCTTTGTGTTTAAGCCCTGTTTGATAAATGGTGACAAAGTTCTTCCAGTGTGAAAGCTGAGCCATACTACAGCCTGCATTACAAGGATGCTCTGTAGTGGGAGCCAACTTTACGTGCCAGTTGATCCATCTGTTTTCAGAATGCTGCCTCTCTCACAGGCTGAGCCTACTGGGTGACGGTGAGAGGCTCTTTGGGGAAGAATTACTTAATGCAGACAAGGAACTCTAGACAGGATCTCGATTGGCAGAGCATAAGGATAGCACAGAATGAGACTAGGGGAAAGTACAACCAAGAGGATGTGAGACTTAAAACCACCTATCAGGAATGCATGGAAATTTCCAAACTGGCTTCCTCATGGAACTCTGCACCCATAGGGAACCTAAAATCTAGAAGGAGCTGACTTATCAAAAACGAAAGGTGCAGACGGGAGATGGCACATGCCTGTAATCCCAGCACATGAGGAGGCTGCAGAAGGGCCAGCAAGTTCATGCCGAGCTTGGACAACTCAGTGATGCCATCTGTCAAAAAAGTGCAAGGACTATAACTCAGTACAAAGGTTACAAATTCCCCAGTTCTACCAAAAAAAAAAGTAGGCAGGTAACTTCATAATAAAAAATAACTGGTTTTCCTTTTATCATTTTTCCTTTTCAGACTTATTCTGATCCATAAGTAAATGTACACTAGCACTTTTTTTTTTTTTTTTTTTTTTTTGGTACCAGGGATTGAACTCACAACCTTGTGCTTGCCAGGCAGGCACTTACGCCACTGAGCTAAATCCCTGATCCCCTACTAGCACAATTTTACATTCTACTGCTTAACTTTTTCAGTTGCTAAGTGAGAACTACATATCATGGTGAACAACATGATGTCTTGATTTCTTGGCGTTTTCAAGTGTACAATACACTGTTATTAACTGAAGTTAACATGTTATACAATAGATAGCCTCCATTTATTCCTCTGGGCCAACTGAAATTTTTCATCCTTTGACCAACATCACCTTAGTCCCCCACTTAATATTTACTTTTGTTCCCACACTGCTATTTAAACTTCAGATGATCACTTATAATATACGACTAATGAGTTCACTGTAAGTCACTTAAATACCATTCTGCCACTATAGATTTCTGCTGTTCCCTAAGGTTTAGCACTCTCAAAAATGTCATAATCTCATCATACACAGAAAGTTTTCTTCCTATTGTCATGCATTCCTAGGATAGACAGCTCACTCATGAGCTGAGTCAGAAGAAATGAAATGTTTCTGCAGTGCTGCCTACTTTTTTCAAAAGGGTTTGATCGGTCTCTGTCATCTCCTAGTACTCTGATACGAGTCACTGGTCTGAAAGAGGGATGTACCCGAGGGTAATACTCACAGTGAGCAAGAAGGTAGCTGTCAAGCCTGGAGTTCACCTCTCTCAAGTGTAGCATGCCAACTGAGGCACAGCCACTTCCATGATGCCCAAGTGACAAGGCTGGGAGTGTGGAGCTGGGCAGGGATCCAAGCTGACTCCGACACACCTACTGCTGCCTCTCTCAATCAGATGGGCTAAAACAGGTGCAGGGAACTTGGCAAGAAGCAGGGGGCCTGCAGAGCAGAGAGCAGTATGTGTGAACTTATCTTGAGACTTTTTGGAGAAAGCTGACAGCTCTTTCTGTTTGTCTTTTCCAATTTGTGAAACTTCTCTTTTTTTCACATATTTCTTTAATAATTATTTAGAATCCTACTCTGTTACATATCAATATTCTGGGGCCAACAGGGAAAATTTAAGAGAGCATCATAATGGACTGACCTTCTGTTGAAGCCCTGACCTTGCAAGTGACTCCATTTGAGCCAGGTGTGGTGGTTCATGTCGGTAATCCCAACACTAGGCAGGCTGAGCCAGGAGAATCACTGTGAGTTCCAGACCAGCCTGGACTACAAAGTGAGCTCAAGGCCAGCCTGAACCGCATAGTGAGACCCTGTCTCAAAAAGATGAAAGAAGAAGAGAAGGAAAAGGAGAAGGAGAAGGAGAAGGAGAAGGAGAAGAAGAAGGAGAAGAAGGAGGAGGAGGAGAAGGAGGAGAAAAGAAAATGGGTCTATCTGGATTTGGATACAGGCCCTTTAAGAAAGAAGCCGACTAAATGGAGGTGGGCCCTGATCCAAAACATTATATGGTTTCCTTACAAGAAACAAAAGCGCTCTTGTTATCCCTGCAGAGGCAAGAAAGGCCATATGAAATCACAGCAAGAAGACTGCCACCCACAAGCCAGGATGTGAGCCTGTAACACAAACTGAAGTGGTCACTTATGCTATCTCAGACTTGGGTCTCTGGGGCAATGAGAAAATGTTTAAGCCACCTAGTCTCTGCTGTCTGTAACGGTAGTTCAAGCAAGCTAATGAAAGCCTGAAAGGCATACCCACCTCTGAGGAGCTTACAAGGGAGCAGCATAACAAAACAAGAGAGGTAACTACAAATTTACAAGTTACCCAGGTGGGACCAGGGATAGAGCTCAGCGGCACATGTGCCTCCCTAGCAAACATTTGTTCCTGAGTTCGATTCCCTATACCAAAAACAAAAAATAAAACAAATTACCCAAGAGAAGATGAAGTAAAAGGAGCAGTAATTCTGGGGCTTTGACTGATGGAGAAAAGGGCCTGTTAAAGGCAGATATGGCCAGGTGTGGTGACACGGTTGCTAGCCCAGTGCTCTGAGGCTGACGCAGGAGGATGGCAAGTTTGATTCTAGCCTAGGCAGCATACCAAGACCCTGGTTTAAAATTTCTAAAAGAGCTGAATATGTAGCTCAATGCAAAAGCCCTAGGTTCAATCCCCAGTCATGAAAGACTATCTTGAGAAGCTGTATTCAAAAAAAAAAATTTTTTTCCTCAAAAGGAAGGTGGCAGAGATGTACTCATCAGTAAGTGGGAGATTACACTACAGTATAAGCTAAGTGCTGGCATGTGTTGTCCATTGTATTTGCCCACTCCATTTCTAGCATGTAAAATAGCTCTTGGCACTTAAATCCTTTGGTTTGTATTGTTCAGTAAGAAAATAGGCATCTGAAGGGAATTCTCCCAGAACACAAAACTATAAGACAAAGTGAAAAAAAAAAAAAAAAAAGTTGATGGTCAACAGGGAGCAAGTTGAAAAAAAAAAAAAAATCAAGAAACATGAAAATATGAACAATCTCAAGCACAAAACAAAAGGTAATACCATAAGGAAAAAGCTAATATATTTGACTCTAAAATTTTCTATACTTCCAGAAAGGAATCTGTAATACAGAATTTATCTTACATGAGAATCCTCCCTCCTCCGCACAGCGACACAGTAAGCTCTAAGTCCTCAGAGGGCACAGCCCATGAGATTGGCCCGCAGGCACCACAAAGTGCCGGGCATAAACAGGGTTTGCTTGGTTATATCCAAATGGACAGATGAGGAAACTGCAGGATGAGGAGAGCTGGGACTCCACCTCAAATTCCTTTACATTGCTCTTCCATCATCCCACGTGTGAAATCGAGGTCTCCCTCCCACTTCAGGGCTTTCCTCCTGTTTAATAAATCATCACTGAGAATTGTTCTCTTTCAATCCTGTTCCCCACATCCCTTATCAAGTGGGCTTTCTGTCTCCAAACTGACTTCCCAGTCTGCCTCACAACTGCTCAGGACAGAAAGCAATGAATGACTCACCCTCACTCCTGTACCCAGCAGCTGCTTCCTAGAGAACTGGCCAGCTCGGATCTTGTCTGCCACCTTGAGTTGGGGGGGGGGGGGGTGTTCCCAGTGGGTCTTGAATCACTGTAAACAGATATAAATTATGGAACCCTTGTCAGGCAGAGTGTTACCTGCCTGAAATCTCATCACTTAGGAGGCTGAAGCAAAAAGGATCATGAGTTCAAGACCAGCCTGGACTACACAGTGAATTCCAGGTCTACATAGTGTATACATAGGACTACATAATGTATTCCAGAACTCCTGGACTACATAGTGATATTTTGTCTCAATAAACAACAAAAAACTTGAGTTCTCAACTGGGCATGGTGGCACACACCTGTAATTCCAGCACTCTGGAGGCTGAGGCAGGAGGACTGCTGTGAGTTGAAGTCAGCCTTGTAGAAAGTGAGTTCAAGATCAGCATGACCTGCATAGTGAAACTGTCTCAAAGACAAATATAAACAGAGTTCTCGAAGACCACAACTCCAAACAGACAGTCAAGGCTGTTGTCTCATCCTCGGGTGCCTCCTTTTCCTGCAGAACTTTGAGCAGTCAGAGGGATGATTCCCATCTTGGAGATATGGAAATAAAGTTCCCAAGGACTGAATGACTTGTCCAACATCAGAACACTAGTGAGTGACAAGCCGTCTGTGTCTCAAGGAAATCCCCAGTCTAACACTTCAGTGCTGCTTCTTTTCAAAGCCCGTTGATGTTTAAAGCCTCTATCTTCTCCTCCAACTGCAAAACGCATTCTGAGGGGAATTTCTCTGCAGTCTAGCTTTCAAGAAAAAGCAAACATGGGAGAAAGGAACTTACATAAATGCCTTTGAAGAGGCAGGAAGAAATAATTCCTTAAATCCTTCACACTATAAAACACAAAAAAGCAACATCGATTTTTTAACCCATTTTTTGATTACCCACGTTTTAGTTACTGGGCGCTTCCGCTGTGCTTCCAATCTTTCAAGCTGCCTTTCTTCCCTCCCAGAACATAGAGCGGTCTTGTACAAACTGTGTTCTCGGACCTAGGACGGACCTAGGCAGATGCTCAAAATACATATGCTTTGAGGGTAAATGAGCCCCAGAGTCCGCACTGGCAACAAAGCCAGACCGCACAGGTGAGGCGCGATTCCGTTGATCCTCAGGGTGGCGTCCCGGGTCGCGGGCCAGAGGCGTCTGGGCGAGGGCGGCCCGCACAGCTCCCCCACCGAGCGCAGCGCGGGGCAGGATCCAGCCCAGACAAAGGAGCGTCGCAGGCGTGACAGCTCCGCGCCGCTTCAGCAGTAGAGAAAGATGCTCCGGCCCGCACCCAAAGCGCCCTCAACTCCAGGTCCCCCCAGCCCTAACTCCACGAACCGTTCACTGCGAGCGCCACACGCGAAAACGCCACATGCGTGACTCTGCATAGGGCGGCGGCGGAGGAGCCGCCGCGTCTGCGACGCCCACTGACCACTCTCGCGACCCTGGCCTCTCTAGGCTTCGGGAGGCTCCCCGACTCAGTGCCCCCTGGCCTGAGTCCTCCGGTTGCTTAGCAAGCGGCTAGGGGAGTCCCTAGGCCCTTTAGCCCCGCCCCCCGGACAGCCTGTGCCCCACCATTGGACGGGAGGAAGGCAGGCTGCGGAGGGTTCAGCCAATGGTAAGAGAGCCCTGGAAAGGGCGGTGTCGGGAGGGGTCTGGTTAGGGCGGGAAAGGGGACCAATCAAGGGGTGGTCACAGCAGGTGTTTCCCAGCGACACTCCTTGAAGCCACCTTGTCCTCAGCCTAGCTGCTGGGCTGAGAGAAGTGGTCTGCGCTTCCACCCCGCGCCTGTCAGCCTCAAAGCCAGGACTGGAAGTTTATGGATGACAGGTGAAAGTACCGTATGTGGGCTTGCATGCAAGCTGTGATTAGAACATACACTGAATGCTTAAATTTTTAAAAATTATAGTAAAGGACCAAGAATTTAGCTCAACGGTGTAAGCACCTGCCTTGTAAGCGCAAGGTTGTGAGTTCAATCCCCGGTACCAAAAAAAAAAAAAAAAAAAAAAAAATTACAGTAAAAGACACTGCTGACAGCAGCACAAACACCTGCCTGGCAAACGCAAAGTCCTGAGTTCGATCCCCGGTTTAAAAAAAAAAAAAAAAAAGACACTGTCCCTATATATGTGTGTCCCGACACACATCCCATTGTTCTTGTCATTTTCTAAAGCAGTTCTGGAGGCTGAGGCAGAAAGATCACAAGTTCTGGCCCTACCTGGCCAAATTCGCGATTTATCGAGACCCTGTCTCAAAACAAAACCCCTTTTAACAGAGCTGGGGATGTAGCGCTGTGTGAAGGCCCTCGGCCCAATCCTCAGGGTCTCCCTGCAGTGCTATTACGGTACTCTGGTGGGGAATGACCGGAGCCGGGACTAGTTTAGGAGTGACAGCGGGGTGAAGATGAGACTCCGTACATTTCTCGGGTATTTGTTACAGTGACAGCTGACTAAGCCAGGGCTAGGGGCGCCCTCCTGGCTACTGAGCACGCAATTTAAGGCTGTCTGGGAAGTGGAACAGCCGCGAGTGGGCCAGGCTTAGGGGACTGGATCTATAGCTCGGTTTGGTTTGGGTTTTTGTGAAATTAAAGAGGTGAAATAGACATCGAACAGGAAATGTCAAATAGGCAGTTGGAACAGTAATCCGGAGCTCAATGGAGAAAGCAAAGGATGCAATTGGGAGCTGTCCCTGTGCGCTACAGGGTGGTCTCACCCAGGGGTGACTGCAGATACAGAAGTCATCGAGATTTAGCTTTGGAAGCTGCTGGAGCTGGAAGGAGGAATCGGGTTGGTCAAGGAGCATCACCTTTCCCGGGCAGCCACCATGCCAGGGGATCCCCGAGGCCACATGTGCCCTCCT